TCTGAAACATCAAAGAAACAGAATTGAGTTCTTGAGGTTGAATGGAAGCCCATATGTTTCATGTGCGGATCTGAACGATATCGATATCTACTGAAGACTTTAGCTGAAGAAGCTTTGCATTTATAAATCGAAATCTTACTCACTTCTTAGTACTGTTAAAATGGCATGCTCTGAAAGTGCTTGTCTAATATCCAACATACTTCTTCGTTTTTTAAAATATCCAGTGGCCCATCAAGAGAAAGTAGGCAGAATGTGATTTCGTTTCTCCAGCACTTGGTAACTATATAACTTTTTAAAAAATGAACTTTGATTCATTTACCTGCACAACGTTGATCAAAGCACTCGATCGATTCTTCCAGCCGTTCTCGTCGATTTCCCTGTTTCTAACGATCAAACGATTCCGAGACACTCGTTTTGAGGTTCATTTTCACTGTTAACTGGTAAGACTGTTAACAAAATATACTATAGATTCATGTGAACGACTGCTGAAAATTATCAGAAGTGAAAAATCTGCAGTAGCTACCTAGCAAGCATAGTATGTAATGTTCTGTTTTCTTCCCACAGCGTGATACTCATAGAGTACTTATTTACCAACTGAGTTACCTGACCGGGTCTTTAACCTCAGACTTCTCGCTTGAGAGTCCACCGCTTTACCAACTGAGCAACCTCTGCCTTTTATCAATGGAATGAATGCTTTTTATTTTGCTACTGCCACGAAATTAATAGAATCCTGAGCTATGCAATGTGAAAACGAACTTAGGAGAAAGAGTTCGAAATGAGTGCCATACTTTTATAATGAACCACGTCGTGCAGTATTGTGAGTTTGTTGAATGTGTTTTCATCAGACCTCATTCAAGTGGTGTGGAGATGTCGAGCCTAAATGAAATGACTACCAGGGAGACGTTGTACGAAAACTGAAGTTGTTGAAGGTCAGGGAAAATTGTAGCTTTTTGGTAAATGCGATACTGTCTTCAGCGTATGATCGAACGTTTAAAGTTTGAAAACGTAGGTTTTTCATCACTAACTGTTTTGTGGTCTTATTCTGGCGATGATTACTTGGGTAAAATTTGTCTCCGTATTTTTATTGTGCTGGAAAGGCGTAAGGCCCATGAACATGTCATATTCTTCTTTTGCTACGTGAACCACCGAAAAGTATTCAGAATCAATTGCCTTTAGAGTTTCGGTACCTCTTGATCCGGTAAAACGGCTCTCGTTCTTTATTTCTTCGTTATAAGTCGAGAATGCATGTGTATCAAGGTGTGTTGAGCAAAAGATTAACTGAATTGGTGTTTGTAGAAGCGAAGAGTTCAGCGGCTTGTCGGGGTCGGTTTTAAGATGTTGCCGATTTGAGTCCGTCCCTCATTTCTGCTAACGGTTATAGCGCTTTGGAACATACGCTTCGTCATATTGCTCTATGCCACGCAGTCTGTCACTTTAATCGTTGCCATTTCTTTGGAACATCGAGCTGAATTTGTAGAGAGCGCAGACTGGAATGAATGAAATTGCTGTTTTACATCGACGGGTAATTGGCGTCGTTACAGTCAGCATAGCGGGTTTATTGCCCCAAGCCTGACGCGTTCTCTACCCACTGACACTGCGTTCTATTTCAATTTATGCATTTGCTACATGTTCCTCATTCATTTATCTTGAAGTAGGTGATTGTAATTTGGTTAAATGTCAGTAGTATCAAAGGTTTTACACTCGGCCTTTATCTCCGATCTCAAAATACCGAGAAAAGTACAAACTCTCTAATTCCATTAATGTTTTAAGTATGATAACTTTCATTATTGCCGTTATTACTCTAAGTTCCTTTGAGTTCTGCATTCACCCTTTGACAATAGTAATAAACGGTTTACTGGATAGAAAGCCGAGGCAAGGGTCGACTTCGTCGAAAACCAGTTTGGCTTTATGTCAGACGAGCGGGTCAACGGCAGACGCCATCTTTGCTCTACGATCGACTGAAGATGTACTGGTGACAAAGCGAGGGCATCCACAAGGTGATCCTTGATCAGTGTCGCGTGGTTGGCATTAGAGCAATTGTACTGACTGGCTGATTGACGGCCAAGCCTTGTCAGACTGCTCCTCAGACTGTAGTAAGACACCAAGGATGAAACGGAACAATTTACTGTTTGAGTTTTGAATTCGTTCCGCGCGTTTCCGTTTTCGGTTGTGATGTCCTCAGGCACCAAGGACATACTGGAGTCAGCATCATGCCGTATGCCTTATGCGAACGATGTGGTATTATGAGGTAATGGAAGGGAATACGTGGAAGCGGCAGCCCAAATCATTGATAGATTAATTCATGAGAAAACCAACGTGCGAACAGATCAGAATAAATTGACACCTGCTGTTTCAGCAAAGAAACTGAAGGAGAAAACAGCAAATCAATGAAGTTTGGGCGGAGAGGGGATATTTCTCGTTTAAAAGAAAAAAAACTACTACAAAAGATGATTTGGACTTGGAGAGTGAGTTAGTTTGAGATGGAGGAAATACGAGAATAGTCAAATATATGCGGTCAACAGAAACGGCCACATCCAAAACACCTGGGATTACACTTAGTGATAAAAGTGATTATCTAAAATAGGCTCTGTAGGTTTGATCGCGTGCAACCAAGGTTCAAGAATTTCGTTTGACCGTGCCGTTAATGTAACCGAAATGCACTTGATGTCAGACAAAAGAAGGATAAGACCAAGAAATAGGTGAATGGACATATTGCGAAGAATGTCATGGAAGACTGGCACAGTAGTGTAAATTGATTAGTATAGCAAACCGTAGCTGTACTAGTGGGATATTTTAATAAGATGCAAAGCAGTGACATTGCGTACTCAAATAGGATAGACTGATAGTTTGTTTTCGCGCTGAAAAACTGATTTGGACATTTCTTAAAATGGCTTTTCGATTCTGGGCCCGTAGTTCATCAGATGAACACAGTTTAATAATTTATTATTTTGCTGGTGACTGTAGCATATATTTAGGTAGATAGTATGTCTTCAGACTGACGCTGGATAACATTGGAAGAGTATTCAAACGTAAAGGAACGAGGGTGAAGTTGATCTTCAACATCTTGATATCTTATATTAAAAATGAAACACGTTAGATGCTAAGCAAAGCTTTGTCGTAGTTTTTTTACCATTTGAATATCGTTTCATTCTTCAAGTATATGTTCATTTCTGTTAATTTCTATCATTCCCAAACTGAGTGACATTGCTGAATCTTTCGAGATAGGATGACGGAATTACTGTAATATCGGTCATCCACTGACACCTGTCTGTTGAACTTAATACGTGCAACACTAATTTAAAATTTAAAGTTATAAAACTGGAAAAGGTAAATTTAATAAATGAATAAATTTTAGTATAATTTTAAAACATTACATGCGTAATGATGAAGTAATGCGCAATAATAATAGAACTATTGAATTTAAAGAAATTTGACAAAGTTATGCAGTTTTTCTTAAGATGTATTGCATTATGAAATTATGTGCATTATTTTAATTGCTATAGTATGATAAAATTACTTTTTAACGTGCCCATAATATTTTTCGAAGTAGCAAGTGTTTTTAAAACTAAGTTTTCAAAAAGATCTAGGCATATGCTTAAAATTAATGTTAAATTTTTTTATTTTAATCTTGAAATAGCTTTGGTACAGATTCGGAGAGTGTGAAATCTGGCGCCTTAAGGTGGCATGCCACTTGTAGGTAGCGTCAAAATGGAGTAGTTGTTCTCTCATTTCTCTTGCATGACGAGCTCTGTTTTGATGACAAGATCATGTCTTTTTGGTGCATTTATGAATGGTTTTATTTCTATTAGCGCAATTTTAGTTTTCAATGAGATTTTATTGCAGTTATAGAGACAGTTATGTAATCAGTACCTTATTGTTACTTGAGCGCTTTCAAATGTAACATTGTAGTAGTTGGAAAATTATCAAAGTAAATAGGAGTTTAAATGTTGTATCTGAATTAAGATGTGTGTGCAGGCAATTTGTATCAGTTATGTTGTTTAGACATGTCCTGATATCTTTTTCCTAAACAACATGTTTATAGAATGACAAAGTAATAAATACCGCTGTTCGTTTAGCAGTCATGTGGAATTTTCTTATGCGAAGCACGTAAAAATATAAAACCTAGAATAAAATGCGCAGTACCTAAATTACTTCATGAATGCAACATGAATAAGTGATGATTAAATTAAATAACAATAAAGTTAATTTTTTTAAAGATGTCTCTCTTACTGTGGTCCTCAAAAGTCCGTGTGGTGTTAGCAAAACGGACCCGATCCGACTACCAGAGTTTCTTCAGAAGGGGCACTTCAGATATACCACCAATTTCGGGAAATGTTATCAGAAACAGGCTCATTTTATTCGGCCACGTCAAATGAAGGTCCAGCGAGTACGATGAACATAAGGTCTCTAAAGAGATTCTACAAGAGAAGAAGAGAAGGTAAAGACAAAAGAAAAGGGGCCACAGGTCGATAAGAATGAACGATATTAAAAGGCGAGAAGTGACCGAAGATTTAACCAAAGACCGAAATAGGTGGATAAATAGACTCGAACAGCAGACTCCTGTTATGGGGATAACATTACAAAAATAAGGAAAAGGGCTGTCGCACTCTGAATATTTATTTGAATCTTTCACCTCTTTAAAGAATATCTTTAATAAGCCGAACTTGTTGATAAACCTTTTATAACAAAGGGTACAGTTTAGGGTTGGTCGAAAAGGTAGATTCTAATTCAGAGAGCAGCTTCAGTAGTGTCGGGTATTGCAGAAGAGTTAAATTGCACTTATGAGATTATACGCCGCCTTGCAGTAATTCCGGCGATGAATGACTCCATTCATTTCGAATTTGGGATTTCGAACACTAGACTGTGATTTGGCGCTATGGGTATAGTATGATGTGGTCCTCATGAGTGTTCGTGCCTCGCTTCGCCTTCGCTAGTTGTTTTTGTGTCGCTGGTCATCGACTGTTCGTCGAGACAGGCAGAGCCGGCAGCACTTATGTGGAATGTCAGCACCTAGCCTCGAGCGACCGTGCCTCGATTTCGCCTTCGCCATCGTCGTGGAAGCGACGACAACGACGGTGACAACCGACTACTATGTCGGTAAAAATCGTCGTCGCGTTTGTATGTCGTATGTCGCATTTCGCCGGAACACGTTGCTTGCGTG